TGTGTGTGTGTGTGTGTGTGTGTGTGTGTGTGTGTGTGTGTGTGTGTAAGTTATATAATTAGGCTGGCAGCCCAGTGTACATCTTAAACAGCTGTTCAGTAGCATCACACATCATATTCACTAGGACAGCTGAATTATTCTCCGTTAATCAAGAACACTAACTGAAAACTTAACTTTTAATTTTAGTTTCAAAATCACTGTTGAGTTTGCTTTCATTTTTGTTTTTCGTTTCTTCTCCCTCTTTTCCAGCGTGGCCCCGGGTTTCGAAGCAATGAAGGACCAACATATCTGTAACAAGATAATGGTCAAGTTCATCCAGAACTACAGCAATATATTCGAGATCGCCAGAGACGGAGAAGGCTGCACAGAAGAACTGTCAACTCTTATTATTGTCAAGGTGCTGTGAACTCACAGGGACACCAGATGCTCATGTTTATATGAAATAGATATGTGATGGTGGTCAGTACAATGTAGTGCAGCTGAACAAATAACCATGAGTCACCTGTTGTGCCAATGCACTTTAAACAGTATGAGTTCCTCTCAGGACCATGACCTCCCTCTCTGCCCATCCACCCTGATGAGTGATAGTTTATAAATACAGTACAAGGGAACATGATGAAGTTAAAATTGATCTTATATCACAGCCTCGCAGGATCGACTCCTCCACAGGCCGCTGGTTTGAGTCTCTGGCTGTTGATTTATATTTGCTGCTTCAATGGCTGATGTCTTCATTGATTAGCTAGTTTATCTGGTCTGCTGGGTTTCCTGGCTGCATCTTGCTGCTGCATCTGTAACTATCTGAGGAAAATGTGCCCGCAAGAAACAAACCAAGCAGAGCACAGCAGCAAACCATCCATTTACTGCGACTTAAGTCGAGCGATATCAGATTCTGGTTTTATTTCCGTTTCACATAATAACTTAATGTGTCCCTAAACTTGGAGATACATGGTTTGTCCTGGAAAGTGGCTCTTCACACAAAATACAGTTCTAGTGGGGAATAAATGAATCTTTTCTAAAGTAGTCAAAATGGAATGTATTGGGAATAAATACAAGCTTAGCCTATAAAATATCCACCGATTATAGAATTAATGTTCCTAGACCCCCCCATATCCCTTGAAAAATTATCAACATTGACGTCAGCATCTTTGGAGGAATTTACCGCCCTGTAAACATATCAAACTTTCACCCTGAGTGACCTCATGTGAACATACAGAAAACCAGCAAAGTCGACACAGAAAGGGCAGAGAATTGAAGTCGTGTGCTTAATACCGTGACGATGCAAACGGAGACACACTGACCAAATCAGCTAGTCTGGAATATTTGATATCTTCGCAATAAACTCAGTTTGTTCCAATCCACTAAAGAAGGCGAGATTAGAGGAATATTTACTGCTCCGACAGATGCAGTATGAATATAGTTTCAAATATCACATCACAATTTTAACTGCAAAACTTTGGCACTTTTGTAAAAAACATCCTTCACAGTCTATGGCAAACGTCTTGATCGTTGATTAGCGACTGTTATTGGCATGAAATGTGACATGGGCCACCTGATGCCAGTTGGATTTAGCTCTTGAGACCCTGCTGACCTGTGGGAAACCCTTTCAGTCAGAATGAGATTCTCTTACACACAAACATGCACACATAAACACTAACACATATGCACAGGCACACACGGGCTACTAAGGCCCCTCGCCTGCTGACTTTCCTTCGCAGCGCACATGATCGCCGGTGTTGCCTTTACCTTCACTCACAAAATACTGACGAGCAGGAGGTGTGCATGCAAGTGTTTATGTGAGTGTATGTGGAGGATGCAGATCATCCAACCAGGAAAATCTATTCTGAACCCTGTTGTTAAGGCTCACAGAAGAAAAGTAAAAGCAGAACAACAACATAACCGGGAGTTTTATTAAAAACGTTTTTCATAGCTACTGTACAGATGAAGAACACATTTCCTCTGTTTAGCATGATCTGTTGCTAATGTATTTATTGTACAGTATGATGTGCATTATACCTGTGACCCTCCTTTTTTTTTTTTTGGTTTTTTTTGGGTTTTTTTTAAACCTCTTTCTGGTCCCAGGAGGTGCACATGACAGATGCAGACGCAAAGAAGTCACCAAGTCACCTCAAAGCAACCCAACCGACACCGCTTCCCAGAACGAAGGTGTGTGATCAGCTTTACAGCAGCACGCCTGCACGTGTGCGTCTTTGTTTATACATTAATGCCCCTCAGTGCACCTGATATGGAAGTCTTTGTCCGTCTGCTGTGAAATGCAGTTTTGTTGTTGATGCGTGACGTTCCCAGATCAAACTTGCATGACCCCTTCAAAGTCTCTTACATGGTCTCTTTTAACACCAACCATGTGATCTGTGCGACGTGATTAACAGAACAGCGACATGTTTTGGAAAAGTGGTTTTCCAGCACGGAGGCAATTTCTGTGTGCGTCTGTTTAGGTTTCTGTAAGCTTGTTATCAGTGTCAGCTGACTCGTGCATACTGCCTGCTATGGTAATCAGGTCAGTCAGTGTGTATTTAAAAATACGCAACTGAGATATGTTATCATTTTCTTCTTAGGATAGGAGCCTTTAGACGTCACCTTCCAGTATTTGTATTCTTTTTGTGGAGCATCTACTGTAGCATGTCAGTTTTAATCAAAAATAATGATAACAAAGTAATTGCTTTAGGTTATATTAATTAATGATTATCATTACATTACATCCAACAAATTAATTAGTATTATCTTGCATCATTTGTCCAGGATCTTTTCAAATGCTATCAGCTGTCTTAGTAAATGCATTCTTCCACATTTAACTGTTTATGTACTGCACTTTAAATCTTAATGTCTTTATTTTGCATTTTCTCTCAATACATGTTACAAGGGAGGACAAAAAAAACCACCAGAAAATGCAGAACTTCTGAACAAATCCTCCACTAACGCTCCTAAGGCGAGGCAGAGGAAAAAGAAGGTACAGTGTGTTACTGTCATTAAGTTCTGTGATTAATTGTTGTTGTTTAAGAGATTTGCCTTAATGGATCACTACAGTCTATATGTCATCATTGCCAATAAATACTTCCTGCTTTCTTATCTGCTGCATTGCCTTGGTGCTGATTAGCCTCGGGTCATCTCTCAGACAACCTCTGATACATGTGGCCTCGCTGCTCGGTCACATGATGGGATTTGATAAAGGCAGTCAGTTGCAGGAAACAACCACACACTTATTTGCAGTGAGAGACATACAGGGGCTATGGTATGCCATTCCAACTGTGTTGTCGTATTACAAATAAACCCTGCCACAAAAGCTGCATTTGGTCATGAATTTGATTAAAATGAAGTCTTAAGAAGTGACCCGTTTGTGTACATGTAGTAGAGCTCTGGCTTCATTTATTTTATCACGGTCAATATGGGAGCATTTGGCAAAATTATTTCAAATTTCTGTTCTGAAGTCAGCTACTTTGATTAGCCGTGTACATGTTCATTTTTCTATATGTGATAAAATGAGAGGTTGGCTTCAGTTTAACAACAAAGACGGACTCGCTGTGGTTTCTGTTTTGAATTCAGCTTGAAACAGAGATCTGATGCCACATGTGATACAGATATAAAGACCAGTGTCACTGTAGAGATAAAAGTAATGGTGGCAAGATAAGCTCAGGGAGGTAAAAACATCTGCTGATGAAGGATGTTTACTTTCCCCAGTAGTTAATGAAAATACTTCTACTTTTAGCGGAGCTGCATGCAACTTAAGCTTAAGAATGTTTTCAGATGCCCGAAGTTATTCGACCTTACCTAAGAAGGTGTACAGTAACAAGTAAACTAAATTGGAGACACAAAAGTAGAGACTGCTCTCAAATGACTTACATTGTGATTTATGCCTGTAAGAAGTATCCCCACTGGAAGATCAACATTAAGTGCGTATAGGAAGTGCAACACAGTACTTAATCTAGTAAACATACAAATAGTGTCCAAAAGAGTAAAGGTAAAAATAATGAATATTTAACAGTCAGCCCAATAGTAATTCAATTCAACAGTTACAGTAATTCAATAGTTAGTTCAATAGTAATAATCTTGAATATTTTCATTTAAATAAATGTCTAATTCTCTATCTATTGCTGAATTAGGTAACACAATGGAGATTGAGCCTGTGACCCACTGATTGATGCCCTTACATTTGCAACAAGCTGGGTGTTTGTGGCAACATTCGCAGGAAAAATCCACAGCTGTGAAGTGCTGGTGACGTGTTTTCCACCACTCAGCAGTGGTTGGTGCGCTAACGCAACAGACTGAGAGTTTAAGCTGATACCAACAGACTCCTCACTTCCTATGAAAATTAAAATAGTATTTACTGAAAAAGGCTTGTGCTCCAGACTCACCACAGATTTGGCCTTGGTGCTTACTACTAAAGATGTAGTTAAAAGTCTTGACATGTTCACCACTCACACATCACTACCAAAGCTACGCCATGTTTGATACTATGGCACTGCAAGACAAAAGTGAAATAAGTCAGTATTCATCAGCATCAGGCCAACAAACACACACACTTCAATTCGAGAGCCCTAAGCATGCCTGTTCTGTTTGATTTATGATGGGAATTTGTGTTTTATTGTTCACATAGAGACGTTTATGTTCATAGATGAGCTTTGGACTGCAAAAGGGGCACAGTTGGCACTAGCAGAGTATTACTAATTCCTTGTTGAATAAATACAGCATTGCAAGAAAGCATTCTGTTGCTATGGTATGACCAAAAAAAACATTTGAATACTTTTTTTAAATGCCAGCTTTTCTCGCTTTGAGCAAAACGGCTTATACAAACAACCGCCACCTTGAAACATCTAGTGAAAAGTAGTTGTGGTCGTAGTGCAAGCAAGAACAGGTATGGATTATATTGCAAACGCATTTTTGGAAAACCAGACATCTGAGATGAGCTGTCACCAGTTTCAGTTAACGGCTGTAAATGTTGTTTTAAGGTCAGCTACAACTGCATTTCATTGTAGCAGATGATGGAAGAGAAAGTACAGTTTTAATCTTTAAATATTTTATTTTGCTTTCTTTGCAGTCTTTTGAGATGTTGGGTACAAACCTTCAAGTTATTAGTTAATCCACGATTTAGAAACCAGGTCATATCCTCATTTTGGTCCATCAGGCTTCTTTGCCATCTGGCCTATTTAGCTCCCACTTGTTGTGCGGTTTGAGCTCTTTTTTATGCATAGCCAGAAAGTGAGAACCAGGATGGAGGCAGCATGACGGGTCAGTGGTTAACACTAGAAACTGACCTGCAGTTTGATTTTTAGCTTTGCCTGTTTGGAGTTTCCGTGTCTGAAATCATTCACTGTTTAGTATATAGTCAGTTTATACACAAAGTCCTTTTTAGTGTGTCTAATGAGAAATATTATACCCTTTTATAATGGCCTCAAATTATCTACTTTCTAACTCGACACCTGAACAACATAGACCAACCGAGATGACAGCACCATCTCACTAACACTGTTGAGGTTCATTATCACAACCTGGATTTTAGGATGGGGACTTTTCCATGTTGTCTCCATGATGTCTTCCCTAAAAAAAACAAGCTATTGTCCACATTTGTTTGCGCTGTACTCCAGTGGTACGACACTAGCAGCAGCAGCTTTTTCTTTCTCTGCGGTTTTCTGTGAATGACAAATTTAGCTAAATCAATTACAAAGCCCTGAGGGGCAAAATCCATACCTGGTCTACAGCTAAAGAAGCTTGTGGAGCTAATTATGTTCCCAAAGATTCACCCATTAAATGCACCAATGACTAAATGGAGGCAGCGTCCATAGATTTTAGAACAACCCATTAGGTTCAACCCCAAATGGAAATGTTCTGCTGATAATTGGTGTAAAGAGAAAAAAAAGCAGGCCTCCTAATTCAAACTGACAAACGTTTATCAATAGAGCCAAGCCCCTTTTATCAGTGGGTGTTTTTGACCATTATCAATACTTCTGCTGGCGTCAGACCCAATTCATACTCCTTTTACCATAGTCGGCCGGCTATTTAGCCTCAGTGTTTGTTAGCAGCTGTAGGAGTCCCCTCTCTTTCTATCTATCTATCTATCTATCTATCTATCTATCTATCTATCTATCTATCTATCTATATCTATATCTATATATATATATATATATATATATATGAGAACGCTCTCAGTAAAAATGCAGAGTAGTACTCACAATGTGGCTGTAATTCGGTTACGGTTCTTCTCCTACACTGCAGTTGGAGGCTCACGCTGTTTATACCCACTCGGGGTCAGCACGGTAAGACAAACATCCGTCCAACCATTCAGATTAACCAATTTTTTTAACCTTTTAACCTCTTACCCCTTTGTTGTTTTTCTTATTGCTCTCTGCTTCACCTCAGAAAATCCTCAAATGTATGTTTTATAGTAACCTGAGCAAAGGTTGAATGCTCCAGTGTATTTCTGTGTGTGCGGTTGTAAGAGCTTGATTGTGCAGAAATATTCAGAGTGATACGAGTACACGTATCATTTACCTCTCGTGCTGTCTCATATTTCCTGTCACAAGACTCACCTGTTATTGGCATCTCTCTCTCTCTCTCTCTCTCTCTGTAAAATAGGTGAGGAAAGGGACGAGTGACCGCATGACTCTAGTTATCCCTGACCCAAGCCGCTCTGCGGGGTCGCCACATGCAAGGTCCCTCTCCATACCAATAATTTTGCCACTGACCTCAGAGCTAAGACACCCCAGTCCAGAGCCAATGGAGACAGCTCGCCAAGAAGCCCCAGACACTTCCTCGCCACTCAGCCACCTCGATGTCAGCCCCTCTGGCGACATGGAGGCCATCAGCAGGTCAGTCCGGTCAAAGAGCATGCACCTGTGTCTGAGAAGATGTCAAATTCATGATATTGCTTGCAAGTTGCAGAATATTGAGATAATAATATTATATTTATGGATTCGTAACGTGAACTCCGTGCAATTTGTGAGGCAAAAACAGAATTCACTTAGTCTGTGAAATCCAGTCAGTTTCTCTTGCAGTTTTAGTATTTCACTAGGATCACAGTCTTATCTGGAAGCGTGATCCTTTATGACAGCTGTAAAATAAAGCTTCACTGCAACGTACGTAAGATAAAACGATTAAACAACTTCTATTTTTGTCTTGTAATGTCCAACTCCAATGTGGAAAACGAGGGGGCGATTCTAGCAGTGGTAAAAAGGTTATAACTACTGTTTGCATAGGTGATGTACTATCAGTCGAGGGTGAGGGTGAAGAATCTTGACAGCGATCGGGGATCTAAAGCCCCATCCCCGTCGCTATGTGCCTTTGGCATGCAAACAAGCCTATTATAAGAAGCTGAAACTGGAACCACTCGGTGTTGAGTGTCCTCAGCACTGGAATAGCAAGGCTACAGTTGTGTCTGTTGTTGGGGCTCTTGACCAGGGGTTCTAAACTAGTATTAACCTTGGCTGTGATAGCACCTGCACCGTTTGGCTGAAAATCTACTGTTTAAAGCCTCTTCTCACACACACTCCAAATTCTGTTTATCCACAGTGTATGTTTTCAGTTGAGTGACTTTGCTTCCTTAATTTGAAATATTGACATTGGTGACATTGAGAGGCACCACTTTACTGGTCATACATCAAATGTGTCTCAGTGGGAAAACTACAAAATACAATGTACAGCAAATCAAGAGTGTGATGTTGAAGCACTAAGATGAGAAATGATGATGATGTTTTTGGCTTCTACTACGGCTTGGCGGAAACACCACTGACCTTTTAGTATGACATTAATCAGAGTTTAAAGCCGTGTCAGCACCAGATCCATTAACACGTTACATAAAAGTACACAGCGCCCTGCTTTACAAAAATTGTCATCATTTAATTCATAATAATATAAAATATAACATTTTAAAATATCACACACACACACAGACTCCTGCAACTTGCAGAAAGACTAAAATGAATTTACCATCTTTCATGCCAAACTACTTTTGATATTCACAGATCGTGTTTGACAAACCTGAGACTCTGGAGCTTTCAAATGTTTAAAGACAAAGCATTTATAAGGAGAAAATTAGGTAAAGTTATGAGTTTTTATTAAAGAAAATGTTTGAATTGTAGGTAGCTGGGATTTTGACACATAAAGCCAGAGCAAATATATGATCATTTTTTCATAAGTGGATTCATCTGTGTTTTCATATCTGTAGCTGCTCTCATGTCTACTTGTCAGCTTGCTCTCACTTTCCATAGGTATGTGTCAGACAAATCCGTGTCAGCATAGTGCAGCACAAACAGCCGCACATCCACCTGGGCCGCAACTAAATTAAACATAGCCAGAATGAGAAAAAAATACTTTTTGTTTAATATATATATATATATATATGAATGATGCAATTTAAATATATCTAATGACGTGTGTATTCAATTTCACACACGCACGCTTCTTTCCAGGAACTACTCCGGTCCTGAGTCCCTCAGATCACATTCAGCACACACTGGAAATCAAGTCAACATTCAGTGAGATTAATATTAGTAGCTCCACTATTAGACTCGTGTATCCACATATCAGAGCATGAGCCTTACCATGTTCAACATGTGACACTTTGCCTCCTCGGTGTCAAATACATGAATCCAGTAATTGTGTATGTCACAATGCTCTCACCTGCACCTGAAATATGACACCAGCCTCATTCACCACACAGGTCACATGAGCCAACATAGCAGCGCCATGTGAACTTACTCTGTTCTCAGCAGTGCGTAGTTGCTCGTAGGGGATGCATACTGGCTTTTGTGTGGAGTTGCCATGGCTCACTAAATCTTGTGATGTAACCATTAGGTTTCTTAGAAGCCCGTTGGAAATAGGTGGGAGTGAGGAACGTTGCAGTGTGGTGTGACTGCAGGTTCCCTGTGGGTATAACAGCATTGTTGGCCTCCTTTCAGGAAGTCTCATCCATCAGCCTGAAACCCTGCTCACATATTTACAGCAGGTAGCTGCTGGCTGGATCTAACTGGTTTTCATAGCACTTTTTGATGTTGGTGCTTTTTTTTTTCCAAATCCCATACACAACATTGACCCCTAATCATACCAAGATTTTAGGTCTATAAAGAGTCTCAGCCAACCAGGTCACAGGAAATCTAGAATTACTAATCCAAAGCCAACCAGATTTTCTGTTTTACCCCTGAAGATATTCACAGGTCACCCAAGAGGCTTCTTCTACCTGAACACTAACCTGCCACCATTCAGTAGAGTTCAGCCTCTTTGATAAGTGGCAAAATGTCTCAGAGGCGACGTTCTAGATGCTAAGTTTGATGTTCAAGTTCAGTGACAGACCTGACAGGAAGTCACATACCTGGTCTGATAGTGAGAGGAAAGCATGACAGCAGGTGCTCCAAACTCAGTAGTCAAAATCATCCATGTATTATAGCTAGTGCTGAAAAGACTATTTATTACTCGATTAGTTGACCAAGGGACATTTTTTCTGATATTGATAATAATAATTGATAATTTTGAGAATGGTTTAACTAACTTTTCAAGCCTAAATGCCAACAATTCACTGGTTCTAACTTTTCAAATGTAAAAAAGACATTCCTGAGAATCAAACGTGGTGTTTTTCTCTGTGCCATTTTGCTTTTAACGTCAATAACATGCAGCAAAGTTAATGCTCATGATATAGAGACTTGACACAAAACGAGATGCATGTGAGAGCTGATCATATTTCATCTCTAAATTGTTTAAAACCTGAAGCATGGTGTCTCGGTGTTGCTTTGACGCCTTTTTTCTCTAATACAATGAGCATATACTGAGCATAGCTTAGCCAGGCTTATCCAACAAATACTTTAGGTCTTGACCACCACACAGTTTGTGCTCTTTGGTATTCGAACAATGTCCAGCACCCGTCTAAAAGCTGATGGTTTGGAGGTCCTGAATGGACCAGAGACTCATTGGCTCTTTGATATTCAATACAGTAAATTGCAAAAAAAATTTACTAAACTATTTTCCACTTTTGGTTTTGCACCACCAACTCAAATAACAACTTCCCCAAACCTTTTTTGTTTTTAGCAAAAAATAGTGTAAAAATTGATTATCCAACAACTAATCACAACTGTAATTGGCAGCATCAAGTCAAAGACATAGTGATGGCAGCTTCAAAATTGTGTTGAGAAAAATGTTGTTCACATATGAGATCAAATAAGAACTTTAATTAGACTTCAGCAGATGTTGTTGTTGCATGTTGTTGGAAAAGGTAAGGCAGGGCTAAGGAGAGGGACTCTGCCAAAAATTGCTGGAGGATTACTCAAGTGACCAGCATCCGCTAAGCTAGACTACCTTTGTCTACATTGGCTTTTTTTATATTGTTGAAAGCGACCAACTTGTCATTGGTAGTTTTCCGTTTACCCAAGAGGGATCAGGCCTTTTCCGATCGCCCCTACAAAGCTTTTCGTTATCCCCTCAGTAAGGTAGTGGGTAAGCAGGATTTCGGCTTTAGCAATTCACGGCGGCAGTGACGGCACATATTATTTTAATGCGCTTGCCAGACTGTGTAACACCAGTTAAGAACGTGGGTGTGGAGAGAAAAAACATTCACCTCTGAGTCTCTTAAAGAATGTGGAGGTGTTTGCGGTGAGCCACGCCTGCACCTAAAACAAGGCTGGAGGAACACGTGTACATTACCTGCACATTGTGTCATTTGAGAAGACTTCTGAAGTTCAATGAACTTTGGCATATTTTGATTCCTGTCTGACTTGAAACCTAAATCCTTTGTTTTGAACTTGTTGAGGTGCTCCCCGAATAGTTTCCCCTCCCCTCGGCACACCTGCCGCCCTTACGTAAGCCACATGACGGCACGTCACGTGCCAAAACACACCCAATAACCAAACATTCATGGTCCCCTCAATAACAACCCTTCCTTCAGTTTGAGTTGTTTTCAAACTATTGTTTACTGGCACTGTAGGCGAAGTTATCTCATATTTGAAATTGTTTTAGTTTGATCTTGCCTATTTTCTGTCCCTCTTTAAGACTAAATCAGCGGTTTATGAGCATTTTATCAACAATTAATCTGCAGATCACTTTTTTAATTCATCTTTTTTGGTTTGTTCTTTAAAATGTCTGAAAGATGCGACAAATGCTCATCGCAATCTTCTACAACAACATGGTGCCACCAGTTTACAATTCTATTATCACAATGAGAAGGTGGAACAGCTGTTATTTTGGCATTTTTTATTAAAATCGTACTATAATTACTTACAACTACTATTATATAATACTTGATCATATGTCAAAATAGATGCTGATTATGTTTCTGTCAATGGACTTAATTCATTGATGTTTCAGACACTTTGTCGGTCACTGCCGGTCTGTTGAATACTCAGTTGAACCTGTTACTGGTTTGTCAACATTTTTTAACCAAAATCATTTTTGTTGCATATTTGTTAATCAAGAACATTGTTGGTTTTCATGTTGTCTCGACACATGTTTGCTTGTCATGTGAACATCTAAATGAAGTCCCAATAGGGGTTTAAAGTAATGATTGAACATTCTTGTCTTTTACAAAAGAATAGGCCTTTTTCACATCAGACATTTTGACTTCAAGTGTCCCAGTAAGCCCTTACAGCCATCATTATGGTTGTGATTTACAACCATGCTTTTCCCTCTGTGAAATGTCACAAAATCACCATTAACTGTGGAGATTCATGTCTAATTAGCTTGAAAGCTTACAACAACACACATGTGGTTGATTTGCAGTTTTAAAATACATTTAGTATAAAGTGTCATTGTTGCAAAACATCTATGAACAGTAAATAAATGAATCATAAGGAATTCAATAAAGAAGACATCTGTGGTTAACAGTTATTTTTGTGTTACAAAGTCTTACAGTTCAGGTTGGGTTGCAGTGCTTTTCTTCCTGCTTTGACTTTGCAGAAGATAATAGCGTATTCAGCTTTGCTTAGGCAAACAAGACTAGGTGATTGTGAAATGTCCAGCCTGTAAGTACCAGGATATGAAAATGTTAAGCAACCTCAACATTCATTGCCAACGCTGAGTTGCTCTTTTCGTTGCATAATTTCATCATGTGTTGCTGGCATTCATCCAGTGGCACCAACCAGCCTATATTTTAGAGCAGCAGCCATTTCTCTTTTGGTTCATAATAATTACCAGAGACAAGCTCCACAAAGGCACTGATCTGTTGCACTGCATGGCTATTATTCTGCAGACAAAAGACAGTCTTATGCTCCTATTTCCAGCCCCAGGGACATGAAGGGTGGGGGGGGGGCTTAATGTTTTTATGTCATAGCACTTCATAGTCACCCTGTAAGCTAATTAACTATGTGTTTTTGTTTTTATATTTCAGCTCCCAAGAACAAGATAGGCCAATATCTCCTTTCTACATGAGGTAGGCATTCTTGCTTTGCGTAAGAAAGCTGAAAGAATTGGATGAGAGTATGTTGTTTTGGGGGAAGCGGCTGTGTGCTGCCTTAGTGCATTATCATGGGAAACAATGGAAGTACCAGTTGGAGGGAAAGCAAGGTACCCTGCACATGCAACAGTGTGCTCACCACTGTTTCGGTTATTGTAGCAGAGGCAAACGCAGCACATGTTCCAGAGACACCACCCAATCAGAAAACACCTCTGGGTGCAGACACAGAATGATCTGATGGTTTAAGATCATTGAACATTGTAGTATGAATAATAAATTAAGCATAAGCTATTTGTCGGCAACTACAGATAATTGTTTCGATAATTTTTCAAATACAAACAGTGAAAGAATGCCAAATATTTTGTAGTTCCAGGCTCTCAAATGAGAGGATTTTCTGTTTTTCTTTGGATCATTATGAACAGAATATATTGGGTGGACATTTTTCATTAGTGCCAAAGTTAAAAATGAACCTATTACAAGTGCATGAAATGTCCATACATGTATACAACATTCAGTAAACCTCGTGTTTTTGCATGTGCAACTGATAAGGTTTCAGTACACCCTGGCCACACCTGCATAGTAATCACCTGTTAATCATCAATGACGCTTCTGTCATCGTTTCCCTTTTAGCCTTCAGTTTATGTTGACATAAAGCCTTAAACTCAGCAGCTTGTCCAGCAAGTGTTACCGGCTTGTTCCTCAGTTAATCATTTGGAGTTGGCACATTTTGACTGGAGTGTTGTTTGCTGATATGACTTCAGAGCTGATAATGCTCTAGACCAGGGCGGCTGTTTGTGTGATCAAGCCTTCTAATGTTTTTTTCTTAAAAAAAAACAATAATAGACGCACGACAGGACTTCACAGGACAATAGTCAGAGTAACCAGAATAATGCACTCAGAGCCGACAAAAAAAAAAAAATGCAATATAACTTTAACTACACTTTATGATTCATATTTTATATGAAATGGAAGTTAAATCAAGTAACAACATGTACTTTAATGTTTTTAAAACATAATACTTTTGTAGCTTTTGCAAAATTGTCTTCTACTGTTCAGCAGCCGTAAACCTGGATATAACAAAAACAAACTTTGACTGGATCATCTTGTCTCTTACAATGTAATAAAACACATCCACATCCTTTTCATCCATGATAAAAGGTCAAAGGTCTCAATTAGTGCACTAATCCAAGTCCTCGGCATGAAGTCAGCTATGTACAGTATGTGTAGTAAATATTACATAACAATAACCTGTTTAACTGTGGTATGGGATCTATAATCTCTTTGTCTGCATTACATAATCTCTGTGCTCAGCATACTTTCTCAGTAAACTACACAAGACTACTCACATTTTGCAAGTCACATGTCAGGCCATTTTAAAGATTTGAACAGGTCTCTATTATTCATTACATGACATGTGCAGACAGACATGTATGCATAAATGTATATTTGGTGTAAATGCATATGATACCACAAATAGGAAGGTTTTACGTTTTGCATGTCATAAACCAAACAAATTCAAATGTTGACCTGATGGCAGTGGTAGATGACAAGTCAGGGGATCCCCAAATCATTACAATTAATCCTCAGGGGGTCATGAATGTCTTTAAAAGTTCATGATGATCCATCCAGTAGTTGTTGTGATATTTCACAAAAAAACTAAAATGTTTTGGTCTCACTAGAGCAAAAGCCAGGGGATCTCCAAAGTCTATTGGATTTATCCTCTGGGGACCATGAACGTCTGTACAAAATCCAATAATTGTTGGAATATTCGAGACTGGACCAAGGTGGTGAACTGACCGACAGGCAGTGCCGTTCATAGAGCCGTGCTGATAGCATGGCTAAATATTAGTGGGTTTTTTCAGCCTCTCAAATGTGATACATTTCTCTGTTTTATGGAATTGTAAACATAATAGCTGTGAGTTTTGGACTGTTTGTTGGGCAAAATAAGCTCTTTGACGATGCTGTCTTGGGCTCTTTTATACTGTAAACTAAAAGGTAAATCAAGTAACAACTTGGAAACACAATTGCACAGATCAATTGCTAACGAACTAATTCGTCGTAGCAGTAGTCTGTGTCATCTCTGAGTGACTAAGAGTAATATTTGTAATACTTCCCTCTCCCTTTACCGCTCTCTGTCTCTTGCTCACGTTCATCAATGACTAACGCCATGTCCTGCTTGTACTTTGTCACATATGCACCGCTCAAACGTTCTGTCTCTGCTGAAGTCTACTTGCATTCTTGCACATACAAAGACTCTCAGGCTGCCACATGGGAGCTCAGATCAATCAAAATGGATCATATGTCAGCATAATTTTCTTGTGTGTGTTGACCAAAGACTCGGAAGGGCCTGGCTAGTGTCTGACTGTGGTGCAATACTTGATTACCTGAATGGATGCTCCTGGGTACACAATGTGGGGGATTTAACAGATATAAGCTTCTGCTTTAGATGCTTCGGAGTTGTTTCCTCCTTGCGTTTTATGCCTTAAAGAACACTTGACTTTAAAAACCCTAACACAGACACAGACACTACGGAAACACATTATTTTGTTCTTAGTATTATTTACGTCGCAATTTTCTTAGTTAGAAGGTCCTGAATGAAGCAATTATAGGAAGCAAACTTTAAGCTCTTGTAAAACAAGACCTGCATTGCTGGCTTTTTAAAATCACACTCTGCAAAACAAAAATAATACAGTTAAACTGCCAGACCTATCATTTCATTACAGACCTGTCTTAACAGCTCAGTGAACCTTACTGACGCAATAAAACTGAAAACAAAAAAATTGCTGCTGACACAAAATGTCACAAATTCAACAATCGTATTTTGAATCTGTCAAAGAAAATGAACTCATCCATGATATTTCTGAAAGGAATAGTTCAACGTTTTGGGAAATATTGGTTTATTCTTCTATTATGTGCTTTCCTGCCAAAAGTTAGATCAAAAGACTGATACCACTCTCTCCTGTTAAATATAAATGTGCTGCCAGGAGAAGCGTCATTTATCTTACCTTAGCATAAAGGCTGGAGAACGGGGGAAACGGTGAGCCTGGCTGTGTCCAAAGGACTAAACCATTTGGGGTTATAGCCAAATACAGTTGACTTACTGAAATCTCTGATGGTTCTTTGGAAAAACCTCATGATGACGACAAGACTGGTGAGTTTGCGTGTGAGTTAGTTCATCAGAATTCCACTCAACAAGCTTTTAGTGGAAAGCTTTTTCGAAATCACACCATAACTTTCCCAAGACTCACTGAAATGAAACCACTGGATTTATGTGCTGTGAGTCGGGTTTCTACTTGCTGAGATACTCGGGGTACCTAAAGATAAGTACAAGACCGTACTCCCACGGAGGGAAACATTTATGAATTCAGCTCAGTCAACTTTGACCTTGGACATCTAGTGGACAGCCAGATGTGGGCACAAACACAGACCCTAGACAACCCTGACATTACAAATGGAAAGCAGGTTGGAACCACAGGGTCGCCAAAAAGTTTCCTCATCAGTGTCCTACCACCTACAGTACCAGGCTCTTCTTCTGGACCTTGTGTTCCCCTGTTTTCCTGATCTTGTAGGTATTTATTAGCTAATGTATATGGTATTGCCCCGAGAAGAAATACCACGCTGGTAAATATTAGTCAAAGAGAAATCCTCCTCCTGCTGCCTTGATGTCTCCCTACACGCTGAAAAACAATTTTAACCACATGGCATCACATTCTGCAAATAGTCAACACTTATCTCGTTCTCTTCTCTCCGGCTGTTTTCCACAGGCCCTGAAAACTGCAGTTATTAAGCCGCTCTTAATAAAGAATAATCTAGAGTCTAGACAACTCACCAATGAACAATTACAGACCTTATTTTTAAGTTATATAATTGAAAAGGCTGTTTTTCAACAGCTTAACACCTTCTTGAGCCTAAACAATTGTTTAGATGTTTTGTTAAGGTCTTGAAGGACATCTACATAAACACAGATAGTGGAAAAGTACCAGATTTGTTATAATTAGATCTCGGTGCTGCATTTGGCAATATATTACCTGAATGACTGGAAAACTGGGTAGGACTTATGGTTTGAATCTTATTTGAAGACCACTTGTGTGGATCAGAAATCACACATCTGATGGGGCAAATTACAAATAGGATTTCACAATTTTTTTGTTTGAAGAAATTTAAACTTAAAGATTCTGCAAATGGTAAAAAAGCTTGAAGCTCCTGTGTTACTTGCAGATATTTAAATGAGGTGGTATGTAAACATTTAGTGTTTCTGCACCTCGTCGGTCAGGATTTGTAGCTCGCTGTCTGAAAATTACATTTTAATTCTTTCTCTCTACTTTGTTTTGCAATCTGTGTTACTGGAGCAAAGGCAACATTTATATTATAGCTGGGTAATGAAATTACACAATCATTGTGTTGCAAAATTACCAGATCAGCTGCTGATCAAACTTTTGACTGTTGGTGGTATGATTTGATATTTTTAGAATATATGTGTTCAAGAAAGAATTGTTTGGCTTGGTTCACTCATTCTGGCGGTGATATTCTTGTTATGTTTCTGATGCAATGTAAGCCATATGTTCGCGCACAAAAAAACGTAGTAAGCAGGTGCTGCACCAAAAACAAGACAGAGATAAACAGCAAAAGATAATCTTCAGACTTCTGATGCAATGGCTCATTCCTCCTGCCTTATGGTCTCATTTGCCAGTACTTCATGACTCCGACATTATTGCACACCAGGCGACAATACTGTCTCATATTAGAGTGGATTTACACATTTGCATCTTTAGTTAAAATAAGTCGGTGGTGCAAAATGAATTTGGTGTTCTCATCCCCAACTTGTCAAATCCGCGTCGCGCCCCTCAGCATCTGATACTAAGGCGCCCTTGAGTGTCTGTATGAGACGGCCCAGGCTTTCAAGTAACTCCAATGTGAACCCATCAGCGTCATTATTAGCTGCTCCGTGTGTGATGACGTTGTATAAAGACCAGAAACAGGGAGGGTGGATGGATCAAACAAACACAGGAGTTTCATCCAAGAGACTGCTGTTAGTGTCCCATGTGAAACCAACTGCGTGTTGTTCGTGTTCACAACTTTACATTTCCCTCTCACTTTAGAAACAGCTGTTTGTGTTGTTTGTTGTGTTCACAACATTACGTTTAATTTTAACTTCACAAACACTTGATCTTGTCCCATAAGTGTTTTAAGTTGCATGTTTACTTTAGAAACTTTAACCCAAACCATGACGGGGGTTTTTTTCACAACACTGACCAAATACTGCAACCGTAGTGGAGCGTTACAGTTTGAGGCTTCGGGCTACACAGTGCGTTAGAATTTGTCGCCAAGGGTCCTGACAAAGTGTCGGTATTTGAGTTGGAAATGAGAGCGGGTTGGTTGTCGATGCTGTGCCAGCCCGCAGACTACTTACTTGGAAGGATGAAAGCTGCCTCGAGATATTTAATTACCAAATGTTTCACATTTTCAGGCAGTTGTGCTCAGCTCATTGACATCCTAAATGCAGCTTGAGCTGCTTTCACATTGCAGACCAACATGGATAGTAGATTTGTACCTGAACAGAATTTGTGTATTTCAGAGAGTCATGAAAGTCCTCTACAATCCAGAACACCATATATGGAGTTTAATCATTCTTCACTCCTCATTTCTTTTCTTCGGTTGCTCACAACGGTCCACACAAAGGCTATGAACTGGGATGAGGAGTCACAAGTAGACTTTGTTTTAAAGGCTCACAATCCAGTAACATCGGGAACCGCTGCCTCAAACTGTAACAGTGTCAGTGTTAAAATTGCAGCATAGGGCATGGTGCATTTCTCCAGGTCTAATAATCATCTTCCCCAAGAACATATTCCAGTTATATTATGAACCCTCTCATCAGTTTTATATCAAGAGCCGATCAAGAGTCGGTCCTCAAAAGTTTTGGATAGATCTTGAACCTTCTGTCATATTTCAGCGCTTAATGTGTCCACTGCACTTGATGGATTCATGCCTTTGACATTTGCAGGCATTACGGTCTAAGGTTAAGTCAACATTAGTAAGCCATTAAAGCGTTTTCTGTTGCTTTAACTTGTTGCGTTCAGTGTCGAGCCTATTATTAGGTAGTGGGCAAATGTTTTTCCCCCTTTGCCCGGAGATAATCGAGTGCTTTAGTCTGCGGCCTCTGGAGCACCTGTGAGCCTTAACGGACTTAACTTTCGCTCCTCTGTCTGCCTCTTTTTCTACCAACTGAATAAATGAAACTGAACTGAAAGTGAAGGATCTCTCTGGTCATGAGCACAGATCTTAAAACTATTAAAACTTTTACAGATCCATGTTTGTGATTTGAATTAGTTAAGCTCATCAAAAGGATCATCTGGTTATCACACGGTTGGGGTATGCCACTTCTTTCATATGATGTGATATGATATACAGCTTTGATAATGTGCAAGTGTAATCAGTGCATGTCCACGGCATTTTACATAAGTTCTCCACAGTCACCTTCACAGTGTACCATCACTCCGTTATCATCTCTCCCTTTATCAGTACCAGCACTCTGGAAAGCTGTGCTATTACTGTCAACACCACTGTTTATGGAAGATCTCCTCAGGCCACCCCTATACATGTTGAGGTATCTGTACGCCAAATGACGAGGTGCTCAGGTTTACTGTCCAGTGTATTGTACTCGTTTGGCTTAGAATATGGACAGAATCCATAAGAAACCGGTGGGACAAATAACATCCTCTATAGCAAAACAAATGGAAACCGAATCACTGACAATTGTATTTTGGCTCTTAAGAGTTCTGATAAGAAAAGTCCTCGACTGTAATAGAAGAGAAAAAGAACAGTTGCCAAACTGAAAATTTGTTACTGTTTGATGTTGCCTTATATCTTTATATAGATATATGTGTAGTTAGATATAGGCACACCGAAATAGGACAACTATTGCTCATTACTGCAGATAACATGCCATGTGAACAACTCAGAGAAAGATGAAGCCAGAGATCAGCATGAAGAGTATTGACCATATACTCTACTGTAAGACTTAGAGGGGTAGTCATAGAAGCCGGCCACTTAGCTCTCAGAGGACCTACTTATGCTCAGAACACAGCTGAAGTTAACACTCACTCATGCACAGTAGATGCCTCGATCACCGAGGGCCAGAACCAGAGCCTGGGAGGATTTTCAGCGTTGCTCAGTGACCTGTTATGACCACCTGTTTCCGTAGCTCTTACTCTTCTTCCCCTCTTGTTTTTCTTTCAGTAACCACCTCTCTCCTGTCCACTTCAGACCAGATGTTGGAAAGTAAGTTCACTTTATTACTGTTGCTATAGGTTAATTAAAGATAATTTCTTAAGTTTTACTTATAAGGAAACTGTTATTAAAGTCCATGATTTTTTTCTTCAGTTTTCTGGACAGGACGATTCGTTCAGCGGTGGAGCAGCACCTCTTCGATGGAAACCCTTTAGGGGATCAAAGTTCAAAGGACTGTGAGTTAACCCCACGTCCACCATCTCCAAGGCCGACGCCATCTGCCCGACAGAGACGTCGACACCAGAGAGAGCAACAGGAGGAGGCGCTGAGACACAAAGAAAGAAGCAGGTACAAGGAGTCTGTTGTTGTCGTGACGTTGGTAGTTGAGGGTACCAGCATGAGATTGGTGGCGGTTTGTCTTTAGTTGCAACACTAAAGTGCACTGCAAAAGTCTTGTTCTCATCGCTCCATCTTTGTCTGTAATTTTTCATTAAAGTCGAAGAAATCTGCTAGTAGAGTGACAGTAATCCCACTTTTTTGTTATGTAAATCAAAAGTCATTTTTTCTTCATTCTAGTGCAGAATTATATTTCTTATTTCAAGATACAAACACTAGAATATTTTTATTTTAGAAAGTATTTATATTGGAAGCACACATAATAAAAGAACATGTTTTCCTTCATATTTACTTTTTATTACCCATCCAATGAAAACCCCATTCAACCCACCCGTCACCCGCTGAACCATTATATTAAACCACATTACGACAAAAATAAATAATACAAAATAAATAGACAGACAGAAACGACTCAGATTAATTTTTTTTAATAATACTGTGCCGGTAAAGCACAGTAAGATGCCATTCATCACTAAAGCCTGACCTCAGGTTCTCACTGCAGTGCCACTACTTCCAGTTGGTGTTTTTGGTGACAGTAAACACTTGTAAGGTTTCATTCTGTGCGGTAAGCTCGTCCACTGAGACACAGCACAGTCATAACAACTGGAGTCATCGCAGTCAGAAACTAATCCTTGTTGATGGAGATGTGCTGGAGTCTGAGAGTGAGACGTGGATTAGAGAAGTACATCAGTCCAAAGACCAAGACCGTGGACAGTAAATAGAATTAGCACAAAAGCTAAACAGCACGTGTAAATGAGTTATCAGGATGACCTTGGCATTTAGTTTCCTGAAGTATTTCACCCAATGTCAAGCTGATAAAGACGGACCAAAGTGTACAACAGAGGGAGTAAGATGGACAGCAGATCACTCATTTCCTCACCGTCCTCTTTTCCGTCTGAGAGCAGGGCTTCGTCCGTCCAAGCTGACACCAACAAGGAGAACATCCCATTGAGCAGTGGGAGCAGCTCGGGCAGCGTGGGGGAGGACTCTGGCAGCAGCAGCAGCGGCGTGGACTCACAGGGAGACCAGAGTGGTCACGCCGAGCGAACCCCCAAAACCAATAAGTGGAAACACAGCCCGACACTGGTGCAGCTCACAGATAACCAGGGCGCCCACACAGTGAGTCATCTCGCCTTTTCTCCTCGTCTCTTCCTATCTGTGTGATTTGTCAGCATCTTTTGGTAGCATCTCTCCCACTCGTGTTTTTTGACAGCTTTCTGTCACCGCTGTTTTAATCTTTTCTCTCACTGTGACAGGTCAGTCGGTGTAGGTCAGCTGATAACCTCAACAACGCATGTTTCTTTCAGTTGTTTCTCCCAATATCATGGCTACTTTAGATTGTAGTGAATTCTAAAATTGCCGCCACCGATCTTCTCCCCTAATGCACCTGCGATGCAGATTGGTTGCTAAATCAATCAGCTCAACCTCCCGGGCATCCTTATTTCTGACTCACTGCAAATAATTGGCAGTTGCAGCTAACAAGAATCCCTAAATGCGGACAGTGGCGAGTTGGAAGATGACAGGAAGCAAGATGCAGCTGCCTAATGGTTCCCTGCCATTCTCATTGTACAGTGGCTTGTAATATGCAGCATGCCACACTACTTGTAAACCACTTTTTCCAGAAGCAGTGCAAGTGTAAGAGCCACTTTCGACTGTGCAATTAGCTGCCGCTTTTATCCTCTGAAGACGATGATGCACCAGAGAGTACTCGACACCACAATGTTGAGTGCTCAGTATTTGTATCATGTAAAAGGGAAATGATTGAAATGCAGTTAAACACTTTGTTTGTGAATGTTACTTTGATATTTTACTTGTTTTCTGAAGCCTCTGAACGTTTCATTGTCTTCAGTTTCCATAGTTGACACGAGAAATGTGTCAACAGGTAGAGATGCTGCTCTCAAGGTTTGGAAAATAACAGACCATACCTTCTGGTTATTTTGTCTATACACATAAATTGAATTAACACAAGTGTGTCATACATACTATGATTTGGTTTGTGGTTCCGACTGAACTTAATGTGTCAGTACACAGAATACCGGAAGCTGTACAGCATCGAAAGCTGACATTAGATTTGACTCTTATTTACTTTTTCTTTGATTGTAAAGTTTAAGATTTAAATCAACATGGTGTCCATTTACACTGCATATTATTTAGGCAAAGTTATTGTATTACTTTTTAGATAATACTAACCCATTTTACGTTTGGCTTCTTTTGTCAAGATAAATAAGGGAATCTGTAAGAAAACATCTTTATAAAACTTAGATATCTGGTCTTAGTTCAATTGATCAATTAGTCAATCTGCAAATGATTGATTGGCAACAACTTTGATACTTGTTTAATTGTAAAAGTCAGTTAATAAGAAAAAATATAAAAAAAATATTCTTTGGTTCCAGCTTCTGAAATGTGAAGATTTGATTATGTCATTGTAAATGAAATAACTTTGGGGTTTAGATTGTTGATCTGACAAAACAAGTTTTAATATTTTACTATTAAAACTATTTTGTAGAATAGAATCATCAGCAATAATCAGCAGACCAATCAATGATACACACTAGTACCTACATCGTCCAGGTTAAGAGTGCCAGTTTGATCAGATGATAAAATACTTGGTCAGCTACCTCTCGCCTGCCTACCAAGATGCAGTGAGTCATACCCGACAGTTGTATCGTAGAGTCTATACGAGGAGTGTGTGAAAGCAGGAGGAGGACATGGTGTGAACCGTGTTGCTTCAGTAACATGATCCAGTCTCCACAGACTCTTCTTACACTGAAGCTGCATGAAAGCAAGACCGATTATTATTCACACACTTGGCTCACGCTTAATTGCAAGTTCAGCACTCTCGCTTACACTCAACTGAATCCTCAGGCCAACACTTTATGTAACAGGGCAGATGAGTGTCGACGCTCTGGCACACTTATGTTCTACAGGTGATAGCTGGCACAATTCTGATTGGCCAGGCGACCGTGGTGCTGAGTGGCTGATAGCAGAGCTTTGATGTTAGCGAGTGTCTGTGTCTCTGTCATGTGAGCTTGTTATGTCAAGAGCCCCTGAGAGTAATTCGGAGCTCTGAAAGCGTCTTGGGTGTTGTTTCTGCTGCTGTTTATTGTACAGCAACACAGCATCATGGAATATATATACAGCATTGGTTTTATGTGCTCTTTTTCATGAAGTCAATTAAAGTTTGTTTTATGGTTAAATTGCACCATTCCACAATAGTCTCCAGCCTCTGTGTCTTTGGCTTTAGCGTCTCTGTGGATGTCGGTGTCGATTGGTTTGGTCCACCACTTTAGTCCAGACTGAAATATCTTAACTACAGGATGGAGTGCCATGACATTTGGGAAAGACATTTATGGTTTCCAGACGATTCACTGCTATGAATTGAGTTTTCCTCTAACTTTTAGGTTCATATTTGTGGTTTTGAGTGAAACTCCCCAACAACTGTTGGATGCATTGCAATGAAATCTGAAGCGAAGTGAAATTAAGTAAAACATTGTATTTCAGCCTTCATGGTTCAGCATCCAAAAAGATTCATAAAAGCAATCATGGTTCCTCGTTTATTATTTCATATAGTATGAGCAGGAATTCAAAGCGATTTTTACACATCGGTATACCAGCTTGTTCAGTACTTTGTAATAAGCCTCTGTTTTGAAAAGTGCTTTAGAAATTAAAGCATACTGTTAAAAACGTCATTGGACATGCTGATGCAACAGAACATTGTCACATTTTGATGGGAAAACTGGTCATAAAATCAGCTATGTAGATAATCCATGTTTAATTAATGTTTGAATTGTGTCTTTTTCCAGTTCAAGGAATGTGTTGGTGAGAGACCCGAAGCGAACCACATGGAGACATTTGAGTAAGCTCTTTAAAACCTTAACTTGATCCCTTTGAGAAATTGTATTAAAGTCATTAAAGTGAATCATTTTTTTCTCATCACTTTCTGCACCGGTTACCTGAATGTTTGTTTTACATTGATAAGCTATTGGCTGCCACTATCTTACGGGATCTGTCTGGCATACTGTGGTGTTTATAGCGTGCACTTTATCTGATAAAGACAGGCAGCAAAAATATACTCTACATATGTGTATGCATGAGATTCCTGACTGGAAGATAAACTATCTTGGGTTGCAGTGATCAGTCAAAGATTCTTTTGCTAAAGTGGTTTCTCTGTTGGATTTTTTTCAGGAATGACATTTCAAGAAAAGATGGCATTCCTTCTCCTGAACGGGTAAGTTGAAGTTCAAGATTCCTTTCCTATGAGCCTCGATTTGTCTGTCGGGTTATATCATTTTTCTGTTCTGCTCCTTCCTCCTCCTACATGGTGGATCTGCTCTGCCCATGCATCTACCACTGGAGAAGACTAGAGTCCCAGATTTTTGGGGAGACGTGTGAAAGAAAGGGAAAGGCTGGATATTGAATCTCAATACTTTTTTGGCACCGACTGAAATGTATCAGCAGCACCAAGTTTCAAAAACGTCCGTGTTCAAATCGTATTAAAAGCTTGCTCAGACTTAGAGACATGAGGTAACTATGGAACCTAATGAAATATTAAAATGAATAGTACGGGCATACATTGGCAGCTCCAAATCAGTAATTTCAAAACTTTACCACAGAATTACAACGGGCTACCACAACATATATCAAGGAGAGATGGGAGAAGGAACTAGAAGATAAAATACCCAGTCAGCAATGGGAGAATATGTGTGAAACCACGTTCACTACTTCCTGTTCTATGTATTGGCGTGAATTTAGCTGGAAGAACCTTGTTCGTTTCTTTATTACCCCTAAAATGAAGACATACTTAGCCACAATAAACCATATATGCTGGAGAAATTGTGGGGAGGGTTGTGCAAACCACCACCATATCTTCTGGTGCTGCCCCAAGATACAAACATTCTGGCAAAACACTTGGAGAATTATGCAGCATATTCTTGGCCAGCAGATCTTATTCACATGCAAGTCACTTTATTTGGGTGATCTACCAGAAGGAATAACAGGAAATGACAGATACCTCCTGAAAATATTAACGGTAGCATGCAAAAAAGGGAATTACTCGAAAGTGGCTACAAACCTTCAGTCGAAAATTGGATTGAAATCATTAAAGAAATTCACGATACGGAAAGACTGACTTTCCTTCTGAGATTAAGAAAAGACACATACATAGCAAGATGGACAAAATGGACCAAATATTTGTCAGAACAAGAACATGGCTGGTGACTTGCCCTCCCTAACCTCACACAGGTTTTTTTTTACTCTGTTCATGTTGCTCTCGTACTAGTCTGTGTTTTGTGACACTTCCACAACTGATTTGTTGAACAGAAACTCATCTGCAGTTTCACAGAACATGTAATTTCATTTTTGACAAAGGGACATTTAAGAGTTCTTGCAAAAAGGGATTTTCCCACCGTCATTCTTCCACAAACACACAGTAGTTCCTCAGCCAGCTACTGAAAACACTGTGGAAAGTCTGTACTACTGGAAGTTTTGTGTAGCTGTCTGTGAGAGCACAAAGAAACGAGTCACCTTCTCCATCTGCTCGTCTCCAGTTTTAATCTGGACCAGCACCAGTGAACAGAATCATGCAGCCGATACAAATATGGTGAATCCCTTTCCAAGCATCCCAGATGGATTTTAGTAGCAGCTCAGGCTGCAGCTCTGCCACCACCACCACACTTTGTCACCGAGCGGCCATCTGGAGCCAGCATGACGCCGGTCCAACAGCCTCTCAGCTGGTCTGGGGTTATCACACAGACATGGGTGTTACCATCAGGCCATCTTTGTCTTCCTCTAAGCTGCAGATAGTAAGAACAATTAATAGACTGATTCTGTGTGCAGCATGGTGACCTCTTCACCTGCGGCTCATTGAAAGAAATGTTTTCAATGACATACCCTCAGTGTACCTACTGTTCATTTGACTTGTAAAAACAGGATTTTCTCTGTTATTTACTGTTTAACCAATTAGTAGATTGACAGAATGTTATTTCACAACTGTTGTGATATTAATTTAAGTCGTTTTTCAAGCAAAAAATGCAAAACATTTTTGTTTGCATCTTCTCAAATGTGAGACTTTTCGTGCAAATTCCATTTATAATTGAATATATTTGTGTTTTGAACTGTTAACAAAATAAGACGTCACTTTCAACTCATTGGAAAAAATTTTTTCCTCCAAATTTTTAGGAAATTTGATGAACTGAACAATAAATCAATACTTGCAAAAATCATCAAAAAGATGGATAGATAATAAATTATGTATTCTGAGTTGTCAAAAAATATTTCAGGACAAACACTTCCTCTGTTTCACACCACTGTTTCGCAAGTTTTTTTTAATTTCTGAAACACCTTAATCTCTGTGTGTTGTCGTGTTGCATGTCTTAGTTTGTCGGTCTGCGTCTTGTTGAAGCTTTAGTCCCTGTAAACACACCCACCTTCAGAACATGTAGTAGAACATGTAGTACCCTCACCATCAGAAAACTGATAGTTGGAGGAGACCACGGGTTTTGTTTTGCAGCTGATATTGTCTTTTACTTGATGAGTAACTTTTTTGTGTTGCAAAATTACTCGCCTCAGAAAGTGCACGTGCTTGAGTGCATGTGTTTTTAAAATGAGTGTGTGGAGAGTGCTCCACCACACGTAGATGGTGTGGGAGAGCAAAAAGAAAACAAAGCTGTCAGGCCAAATCATACACATTGTGTATGTGGGTCCAATGTTAGATGCTGTCTCAGTTAAATGCCTTTTAAATTCCTCTCTGTTTGTTTGTACACTGTGTGTAAGCCCTTCAAACACAGCTTAATCATTGTCATTGCCC